ACAGGACACAGAAAAATTCAACACCAATATTAAACAGTTAATAACCTAATCTAATACACAATTAATACACAATTACTATGATAAACATTCACTAGCGTATCCTCACTAAAAAAACATGATCCAAGTTCGTCATCCATTGTTCCATTCCTATATCATTACCAGTCATTGCACTAATTATTCGAACGCCTGCACAAATAACCAGGTCTTTATTTTTTTGCGGAAAACCATTAGAGATGGTGCTAATCTAATGTCTGTGGGAAGGGCGTTCCACAGCCGGGGGGCCACCACCGAGAAGGCCCTGTCTCTCGTCCCCGCCAGCCGTGCTTGTGAAGCTGGCGGGATCGAGAGCAGGGCCTCCCCGGAAGATCTCAAAGTCCTGGTGGGTTCATAGGCAGAGATGCAGTCGGATAGGTAGCTTGGGCCGGAACCGTTTAGGGCTTTAAAGGTCAACGCCAGCACTTTGAATTGAGCCCGGTAGCAAATCGGTAGCCAGTGGAGTTGGCGCAACAGGGGGGTTGTATGCTCCCTGCGCTCCGCTCCTGTTAGAATCATGGCTGCCGAGCGTTGGACTAGTTGAAGCTTCCAAGCTGTCTTCAAAGGCAACCCCACGTAGAGAGCGTTGCAGTAATCTAGGCGGGATTTAACCAGAGCGTGGACTACCGTGGCCAAGTCAGACTTCCCAAGGTACGGGCGCAGCTGGCGCACAAGTTTTAACTGTGCAAATGCTCCCCTGGTCACCGCCGAAACCTGGAGTTCCAGGCTCAGCGATGAGTCCAGGATCACACCCAAGCTGCGAACCTGCGTCTTCAGGGGGAGTGCGACCCCATCCAACACAGGCTGTAACCCTATACCCTGTTCGGCCTTGCGACTGACCAGGAGTACCTCTGTCTTGTCTGGATTCAATTTCAATTTGTTCGCCCTCATCCAGACCGTTACAGCGGCCAGGCACCGGTTCAGGACCTCGACAGCCTCCTTAGTAGCAGGTGGAAAGGAGTGACAGAGTTGGACATCATCTGCGTACAGATGGCACCGTACCCCGAAACTCCGTATGATCTCTCCCAACGGCTTCATGTAGTTCACCTACAATGAAAGAGCATTCTGATATCCACCAATGATAGAATTGAACCAAACTTGACACATAGAACTCCCACGACCAACAGAAAATACTGGAAGGGTTTGGTGGGTATTGACCTTGAGTTTTGGAATTGTAGTTCACCTATATCAAGAGAACACTGTGGACTCAAAACAATGATGGATCTGGACCTAACTTGGCACAAATACTCAATATGGCCAAATGTGAACACTGGTGGAGTTTGGGGGCATTCTGAACACCACTAACAATAGAATTGTGCCAAACTTCCCACACACAATCCCCATGATCAATAGAAAATCCTGGGGGGATTTGGAAGGAATTGACAGTGATTTAGGGGACAGCACGCCTGCTTTCCCCTCCCTGCTTGGAGTCTCAGAAATAGCTCTCCTCTTGGCTGAGAGGTCAACCAATCACAGCAGGAGGAGGGCTTTTGGTGGGAGGATTTGCTTCTGTTTCCAAAAAGGAAGAGAAGGATAAGCAGAGAGATCTTCAGCCCCCTCTGTGTTCCTAAGACCATCAGAAATATGTTTTCTGATGGTCTTTGACGACCCCTCTGAAACCCCTTTTGTGACCCTCCCCCAGGGGCCCCAACCCCCAGGTTGAGAAACACTGCTCTAAGTGGATAAAAATGTCAGACTGAATCAATATCTGACTTCAACTGCAGTAGACCTATTGAATCAGTGTAGCCTACATTAGTATTGCATTACTACTGCCTACATTTGAATGGGTCTAGCTTAGCTGGTGCGGAGGCCTAAATAGCCTAAATAGCCTGTATGATCTTCAAAGTTACGATCTGGCTGGTATTTGAAGGAGGAATAGCCATCACATGCCAGGTAAATAGGCTACATTTCAGAGGAAGGAATTGGCAAAGCCACCTCTTCAGTATTTCTCGTCTAAGAAAATCCTAAGCAATTTATGGATTGCCATAAATTAACAGGAAACATACTTCCTGTAGCTGGCACTATTAATTAGTTTTAGCCCTTAATTCCTCATTATCTAATCCAGAAGAGCAATCCATAGTATTTTATGAGTGACAGAAAAGCATGCATGTTTCATGGGATGTGAGGGGAGAGGGGGAGCAGAAATAGGATGCAGGTAAATGGTAAAACTGAAAATTACCTGAAGAAACCTTTCCCAACCTTGTAGTTTCTGTATGTCTTGGGTTATAAATCCTATAACCTTCAGATGGCAATTAAATTGGAGAGTTTGTAGTACAAAGCATCTGCAAACTGTCAAATTGGGCAAGGCTAGTTAAAATAAAATA